GCGAGGCTTATATGTGCAAATTGATTGGAGTAAAATTCGTCGCCATCGTAGGTATTTTATTACATCCTTTGCTCAAAACTGCTTCAGCAGCTGGCAATGCTTTCTTGATCCAAATGAAGTAAAGCGAATCCTATGGAATCGAGACAGTACTGTTTGTTTTGCATGCTTTTCCTGAAATGCTCGTCAAAATTTAGGATTTAATATCTCTTGTATTTTAAAGTTTTTTATCGTTATTTGTCATAACTGGAATGTTGCTTAAAGAGTTTAAAAACCAGTAGTTCATAAGGTACTTTTAAAGAAACCCTGACAATGCCAGGGTTTTTCTGGTGGTCACACATTCATTCTCCCACTTGGGTATCAGTTACACAATTTTGAAACTTCATTTTGGCAGGCTACTGCGATTAGTGTGTTGCAGGTGCCGAATACAATCGAGCAAGCCAAAATCGAACATATCCAGTCTTACGGTGGTGAAATTATTAAGACGGACCTGGGTAAACGATTGGTTCGCGCTAGGCAAGAAGCCGATACGAACGGTGGCTTCTTCATGAACCAGTTCGCTAATTCTGATAAAGCAGAAGAGTACCACGAAAGTGAGTGCCCTCAGACTCGTCCTCTCGTTTGTAAACTGCAGGAGGCAAGAGGTAGAGGGTGGAGGACTGAGGCATTTGAAGGATGTAAATGAGATTTCGCTAATGACAGTGTTTTTCCCAAAGATTTTATTTTTTATATTTCCATGATAAACCAATTCTGCTTTTATTTTATTTTTTCTGGTATGTGAGCCGAAACAAATCGGATGCTTGGTGAAACAAGCGCTATAAGACTCGAGGGTAACAGCCAATAAGATTTTTGAAGATGGATATTTTAATCAAAAACAGTTTGTCCCTAACAATGCTTTTAGCTAATGCTTAGCCTGAAAACATCACAAGGGTAAAAAGATTGGGTTTAAGTTTGATAAACATTAAGACTGAGGCCTTTTAAACTTACAAGATGAGGCAAACGGAGTGATGACAGGAATTGGCGTAGCATGACGACACTGGACTCACAAGGATTGTCATTATGTCAGAAATTGACAATAAAAAATACCATGTTCATGACAATGTAGGTAGTGAAGCATGAGACAGTCGCATTAATGAGCCAAAACATTCCTTTTCAGTTCTAAACTATCAACAGCTATAATAATTTTAGTGTAATTATCAATATAATCATTGTCATTATCATTGTTATTCTTATTACTACCGATATTACTTTATTTTATTGGCATAATGTTACTAAATCATTATTGCTTTAGCTTGTTATTATAGCTTTATCACTATTTTTAATTGTTTTATTATTTTTGTTACCACTACTCCATCATTATCTCTAGTCTTTGTAGTTGAGGGGTGAAGTGGATATGTCTAGAATGTCGATGCAACTGTATGCTTGCATCTCAACTGACATAATTTTTTCATTTTTTTTTTTTTATTTCTTATTGCTTCCTAATCCGGCTTTCGTTCTGCGAATTTTCGGTCATTATTGTGTTTCGCTTTAGTTGTGCTGAGCCTGCATGCCAATTCATCTTTTTTTGCATTAACTTACCGCATAGTTTCTTCTGGTTTCGAATAGTATCATTACATGAACTTTTTTGGATTGTGATTGTATGAATACTAATGCAAAAAATGCGTTCAAAGAATTTAAAGAACACGCCTGCGGGAACTACCAAAGCAATCAGATACAGCACACTTCGCAATAGAAGTCACAGAATTGCAAAATTATAAAAATATCAAAAAAGCGCGATATCAAATGCATGCATTTTCTTGTCAGTGAAACCCTTTTCTTTCTTCGCCTTAGAATCTAGTGCCAGTCTTACCCTTTGTCACTTGCCCGTTTCAGGAACCGAGCAC